TTTTTTCATTGATATGTTTCGAAATGAATTGAATTAAATAATTATCAAATCTGTGATGACTGTATACAGGCAAGGTTTTGAGAAAAGATTTGTACTGTCGGTTCGTAAGGCCGACTTGAATATTATTCACTCCTCCGCTTCGCGAGGAGTGAACCACGCTTTGGTAGCAGAATAACCACACTGGTTTGCAGAGATTCACTTTTATTGCCAGACGACTCGAGTACAGGATCTTAATCTCGAGGATGTACCTTGCCAAACAGAGCTGCGGAACCGCCGATCTCGCCACACTACTCTAACGCTACACACACACGATGGCACACTCACGCTCTGCACACGCACGCCGCCCATAGCCCTCCTGGCGAGGAAACTCGCAACCACTCCTGACGACGCCATTCTCACGCGCGCCATACCCCAATCAAATTCCGCCGTAACATGCCGCCCGCCTTGATAAACGGGTGACACGTTTTCAACCATATCTCTCAAGTGTACAACATACAACTAAACTTATAACCAGCCGCTCCTGAAAAGGTTTACAATTCTCAGAATTCTCAAACTAACTTAGTCACTAACGCTTTGGTATAATTTCTTAAAATTAATCTTATCCTAACGCAGAGTATTACATGAATGGTCTCTAAGACCTCAAGAACATAAATCGCAGATCGATTGCAGTTAGTCACAAGGCACAGGTGCTAACTTTACTATGGGCCTTTTATATTGCCCCTTAGCAGTACGCAACGTTACGGCGCGCACTACTCCGTCGACGCCCGGATGCGTCTCCAACACCCTCGCCATCGTCCATTTGTATGGCATCGCCTCATCTTCCTTTAGCATCACTAGCTGTCCCGCGCGTATTGTTTCGCGCTTTAAAGTTTTCCACTTGGACCGCTGCTGGCACGCGGACAGATATTCCCGCGACCAAAACCTTTGACGGAGTTGTTCGATGTGCTGCCATCTGGACAGTTTAGACGTCGGTACCTCCTGTAGATCGTGTTCAGGTAACGCTGCCATCGAACTGCCAATAAGAAAATGCGCGGGAGTCAACGCCTCCAAATCCCGCGGATCATCAGAAAGCGGAGTGATAGGTCTCGAGTTCATGATCGCCTCGATCTGGGTTAAGACCGCGATCATCTCGTTTACAGTGAGCGACGCCTCTCCTATTGTTCGTTTTAGATGTCGCTTCATAGTCTTGACTGCCGCCTCCCAGAGGCCGCCGAAGTGCGGTGCTCTAGCTGGGATGAAATGCCAGTTCACACCCTCGACGGAACAGTGTTCAGGGATCCTCTTCTTAAATTGAGGATCGTTGAGAATTCGTTGAATCTCTCTTTCTGCCCCGACGAAGTTTCTGCCATTATCGGAATAAATGTCCGACGGTAATCCTCGTCTCGCCGTAAATCGCTTCAGGGATCCTATGAACGCCTCAGTGGTCATGTCGTCCACTAGTTCGATGTGGACCGCCTTCGTTGCCATGCACACGTATACAGCCACGTAAGCTTTGTACTGCTTACTGTTTCTTCTCACACGGTCTCTCACGAATAAGGGTCCACAGTAGTCCACTCCTACCCTTGCAAATGATCTTGACACTTGCACTCGCGCCTCCGGAAGTTGCCCCATCAGCTGCTGATATGGCATCGGGTCCGCCTTGCGACACACCACACAATTTCTCAAATGCTTCTTCACGACGCTTAGCCCGGAAATCGGCCAGAACTCACACCTTACCGCCGCCAACGTAGCCGTAGGCCCAGCATGGAAACACTTATTATGTTTCTCCATAACAATTAGTTTGGTGACGTAATGCTCGGGCGGAATAATCAGTGGGTGCTTCGCGTCCTCATCCAACGACGAACGATCTAACCTTCCGCCCACCCTCACGAGCTTGTCCTTGCCTATGTATGGTTTCAAACCAATTAACTTAGAGTTTCTATTGATCGCCTGGTTATCGCTTAATTTACGGATTTCGTCTCTCCAAGCCGCTGCTTGGACTAATCTAATTATTACATTTCGCGCCTCCCTTAACTCTACCAAAGAAATATATTCTGTCGCATCCGTGTTAGCGCGCTTTCTCAAACCGCTTATGAATCTCAATACGTAAACCACGACACGCAACAACTTAGAGTAGGAAGAAAACTTGTCGAATTCCACGACTGTATTACTAACTATAGCTATCGCCATCGACGCCACCTTGCGCTCTTCGGGTATACCGTCCAGATCCGCACCACGGCTTTCAGTTTCTGAAAAATCAGTCTCAGTTTTTAACCAACTCGGACCTTCCCACCATAACGTAGAGCTATTCAACTGCACGGGAGTTGACCCTCTAGATATCATGTCGGCAGGATTATCCCGTGACTTTACGTGGTGCCACTCGTTTGGAGACGAACTATCCTGAATCTCGCTCACCCTATTCGCCACAAATGTTTGCCACCTCCTGGAAGGCGAACCTATCCAAGCTAAAACTATTTTGGAATCCGTCCAATAGTGCCTCTCTGAAATGTCAACCTTCACGGCTTCCGCGACCTTCTTCATCAATTTAACTAACAACAATGCCCCACACAATTCCAACCTTGGTAGGGATATAGCCTTTAAAGGCGCGACTCGGGACTTGGAACACACCAGTGTGGAACCAACGTTATGATTGGAGTGCT